TTCTCCCCCCCCCCCTCAGTTTTTGCCTTTGATTTTCTGCTTGGCCGAAATGTAGGGCAGCGCCGTCTGCGTGCTTTTGTCCGACACCGTTTGGGTGCTGCTGTTGCGCGTCAGTTTCCGTTGCTGAGCGCTACTGAGGTGAGGCGACCGCCGCGGTGTCGCCTTGGCGACAGGCACTGCTTTGTGAGCCAGTTCTCTGGGCTCCTCCGGAGGCTCCTCAGGAGGTGGCCCGCTGTCCGCGTCTTCGTCGTCGTCACAGCACAAAGCGTGGTAGAGGACTTTGTCGCTAAACCGCACCCGTTCCCTGGTGCCTGGCGTCCTCTGGTGCTGGGCTTTGTGGCTCGGCGCGGAGCTGAAGGCCTCCTCGCTGGAAGAGTCTGGGGTTTCTACCCGGGGTCCATTGGGGATCAGCACCCCGCCGTTCATCAGCCGGTAGTCGGGCTGACGCCCCTGTTGTTGCTGTTCAGAGCCATCGCCAGAGTCTGACGGAGTGGAGGCTTCTAAGAAGGAACAGAACTCCCAGCTGTCGGACAGGATGTCTGAGGTCATGAAATCCAGGTGACCCAGGTCAAACATGCCCCCTCCTTTCTCGCTGCTGGACGTGCTGCTCACGGTCGCTGTCGTCCAATCGTCCGGCTCCAGGTCGAACTCAAAGTCCGAAGTCAGCTTGTCGATCTGGCTCACCACCTGAGGAGAAAGATGAGAGAAATAAGGATCGGGGTAGCGCTTCTGCGTTCAACTGCGCCAGCTTCTTCCTTTCGTTTAGCTGTTCTTTCATAAGGACCTGAGAATCTAAGACCGGGGTCCCCAACCTTTTTGAGCCTGCAGGCCCCTCTACAATGGGGTGGGTGCAGCCACAAAATGGCTGCCCTGGGAGGTCTAAAGGTAAAGCTAAAGGTTCCCTTGCTCGAAAGCCAGTCGAGTCCGACTCTAGGGTTGCGGTGCTCATCTCCGTTTCAAAGCCGAAGAGCCAGCGCTGTCTGAAGACGTTTCCGTGGTCATGTCTAGCCAGCCACAAAATGGGCTACCAATCATGTTTAGAAAAAGAATCTGATCTGAACCCTTTCAGAGTTGGTATGACCTCTCTTTTTCTGAGCATGATGGTTTGCCCAATTTTGAAGCCTTTTCTTCTACCGCTTTGAACCTTGGTGGTGTGTAAAACTGATACTGGAGATTTAAATGAACACAGCTACACCAGTAACTGGAGCTTTAAATTAACACAGCTGTACCTGTATGTGATTAAAAATAGTCCATCTCTGAAGAAGATAACTGAAACGGAATATTTATCTGGAAACTTCATAGGATGGCTTTTGGATTTACTGGATTATTATTATTTTTTTGCATTCTTCATATAAATCATTGGACCTTTCTCTACTGTCCTTAAATTTGTTATGATATATTTTTGTACTACTGTATATTTATACACTTGTTGATATTTTACAGATACATATTGTCAAGCTTGTTGTAAAGTGATTATAACATAAGAATCTATCACACACGGGAATAGAATTTACAATATGTGTGAATATAAGTTGTTTAACTGGGCAAACAGGAGCCATTCCACTCTGGAAAGTGCACTCACCATATTATTTTCACACATATAACCTCCACTTGGGGACTGAACTTGGGGGGGAAGCAAGTTTCTGCCAGGTTGGAGCCAAGTGTCTGTACAGAATGCTGATTGGCTAGGCACCCGTGACATCATCAAACAGCCTCCCCCTCTCTCCCCACTGTCATTTTCCAGCTTCAGAACAATTTTTACAAAACCAGGTGCTGTAAAATGGTTTAAACATTAGAAGAAGAGAAGAAGAGGTTGGATTTATACCCCACCCTTCACTTGCAGTCTCAGAGTGGCTTACAGTCTCTTTTCCCTTCCCCTCCCCACAACAGGCAGCCTGTGAGGTAGGTGGGGCTGAGAGAGCTCTTTCGAGGACTGCTCGTGAGAGAACAGCGCTGAGAGAACTTGTAGCTGACCCAAAGTCACACCAGCAGCTGCATGTGGAGGAGTGGGGAATCAGACTCAGTTCTCCCAGATTAGAGTCCACGCTCTACACCAAACTGGCACCTGATACAAGCAGGGTTTTAAACAAACAAACGGTTCCTGGCAGGCTTATTCCAGAATCTCGCACACCCAAGAGTTAAAATGTTTTCCTTCGTGCTACCCTAAATCTAATTGTCAATTTTGCAGCCGGTTGTTCCCGCACCCAATCACCCAGCCTTGCTCTTGCCTATCCATCAGTTAGATCCTTTACAAATACATCTATTCGTTTAGTCATATTCATAGCGCCACTGCAATGGGGTCTGAGATAAGTACACCAATGAGGCATTAGGCAGAGACGGGAGGCCAGAGAGAGGGGGGAAAGACAGGAAGGAGGGGAAAAAAGCAATGTAGGGCAAAGCGATCTGCCACTCACTTATCAGTTCATCTACGTGGCACCTCTCTGGCCACATTTCCATAAAAAGTACCATCATTTCAGGATCATCTTGAGAGTAACGATTTCTTTTTTTAAAAAGGTATCTTGTTAGCCCTGGAGCACCTGACCTTACACCGTCTCAAACCTCCATTTCATTTCAATCGCTGCAGTTCACAATGTCAGCGGCCAACTTTTTTGATCCTTCCGGAGATTTACAACCAGTGCTGCCTCTAAGCTGTGGAGCCTTCTGAGGGAAAATTCTACTCTCCGAGCTACCGGCATTCAAGTTGTGAGCGAGCGATTTGGCTGCTGCAGACATGAGTTTGCTCTGGGGCCCTCCTTCCTGAGCGAAGACAAAAAGGTGTGAGCCGGAGGCTAGAAATCTGTGAGCTGGCTCGCACTGACTCAGCTTAGAGGGAATGCTGTTGACAACCCACCCTCGCTCGGCGTCAGCTGCCGACGACAACACAGGCTTTGCACGTGATGCTGCCATGTACCAAGACAAGCGGTCGGTTATGCTCGCTCTGTTTTGACCGCTAGGGCTGTCTGCAGCTTTCCAAGGTCTTGGGCGGAAAAAGGTGTATGCAGGGGTCATTTCGTAGAAAAAGAGGTGCAGGAGCTCATTAGCATAACTCATTTGCATATGCCACACCCCCTGCACTGGAAGTGTGTCAGAGGGCAACACCCACCACTCAGGCGCCACTGGACTGTTTTGGATTGCTAGCTATGGGGGGGGGGACATGCAGATCTGTCCTCGCAGAGGAGGGAGAGCTTGTACCTGAATAAAACTTGGTCTTAAAGGTGCCACTGGACTGTTTTGGGCCAGGGAGCTGGGGGTGTGTGCTCTGCAGCTTACCTGGCTGCTTCTTGCTCTGACTGAGGGCTGGTGGGAGCAGGGGGTGGGGCTTGTTGCATGCGCCCGCCCCCTGGGCTCTTTACTGCTGGAGCTCCGCTCCTGTGTGCTCCTGCAGGAAATGACCCCTGGGTGATTCGCTGTTTGGTTGAATAAGTGAACCCTTCCAATGGGAGCAGGGTTCCCAGTTCCAGACCGGGAAAGACCTGGAGACTTATTGACTTGTAATTTATTTATATTTTAAATTTATGAACCGCCCAATCCCCGTATGGACAGGGCTCCGGGCGATGTACAAAAGAAGTTAAAAACATCAAGCGAGAAAAGTTCAAATGAATAAATCACATTTCTTACCTTCTTAAAATAATCTCAGGTGGCGTTACTAATCTGCGGGGTGAAGAGGAGGCCAAAATGGAGGAGAGGGTCGAAAAGGGGGAGGGGTGCCAGCCATGACGGAAAACCATCGCTGCCCTCAACTGAAAGCGTGGCGGAACGTCTCTGCCTTACGGGCCCTGCGGAACGGCATTCAATCCTGCAGGGCCCTGATGGCATTTGGCAGAGAGTTCTGCCCGGTCAGAGCCAGGACTGAGAAAGCCCTGGCTGTGGTCAAGGACAGCCGGGTATCTTCCGGGCCAGGGATCACCAGTAAGTAGTTCTTGGCGGAGCGTCACGTTCTCCTGGGGACATACCAAAGGAGCCGGTCCCGAAGAAATGTGGGTCCCAGACGGCTCAAGGCTTTAAAGGTCAATACTAAACCCATGAACCTGACTTGGGACTCCACTGGGAGCCAGTGTAGCTGGCGCAGCAGAGGTTCTGTATGTGTCGTTTGCAGGGGTCATTTCCTGCAGGAGCGCACAGGAGCGGAGCTCCGGCAGTAAAGAGCCCAGGGGGCGGGCACATGCAACAAGCCCCACCCCCTGCTCCCAGCAGCCCTCAGTCAGAGCAAGAAGCAGCCAGGTAAGTTGCAGAGCCTCCCCGGCCACCCAGTCCAAAACAGTCCAGTGGCACCTTTAAGACCAAGTTTTATTCAGGTACAAGCTCTCCCTCCTCTGTGAGGACAAATCTGCACATCCCCGCCCCCCCAATAGCTAGCAATACAAAACAGTCCAGTGGAGCCTGAGTGGTGGGTGTTGCCTTCTGACACGCTTCCGGTGATGTCAGGGTGTGTGGCATATGCAAATAAGTTATGCTAATGAGTTATGCTAATGAGTTCCTGCACCTCTTTTTCTACGAAATGACCCCTGGCTAGGACACACAGCATCATCAGAACAGCTTGGTCTTGCTTCTCCAGGTGTTGGCCCTCTAGAGTCAGTAGTTGGCCATTGTGTGAGACAGGATGCAGAACATGGACCGCTGGTCTGACCCAGCAGAGCTCTTCTTGTCTGTCAGTTGTGATTCCGTCGTTTGCAGTTCTTCTTGCTAAATACCGAGCTAGACGAGATCGAAAAGCCCTGGCTCTGTTCCTTCGGGCCACCTCTGGCAGCCTCCCAGCCACAAATGGCGCTCAGGAGGAGGACACGAGTGCTGATTCTGCATGAGCGAATTTAGTGCTTAGTGGTGCTGGGGAGCGAATTGAACCAAACCCAGGGCAAGCTCGGTTACGTTGACCGCACCAAGACGGGGTCAACCTTGACGACATCAAACACCTGAAGCCGCCTTCTACCGAATCGGACCCTTGCTCCACCCACCATGTCAGTCTTGTCTACTCAGACCGGCAGCAGCTCCCCTGGGTCTCAGGCTGAGACCTTTCACATCACTGACCGCCTGGTCCTTTTTAACTGGAGATGCCGGGGATAGAACCAGTGCTCCCTCTAAGCTGAGTTAGTGTGAGCTAGCTCACAGTTTTTTAGCCTCTGGCTCACACATTTTCGTCTTAGCTCAGGAAGGAGGGCTCCAGAGCAAACTCATGTATGCAGCAGCCAAATCACCTGCTCACAACTTCAATGCCAGTAACTCACAAAGTAGAATTTTTGCTCACAAGACTCCACAGCTTAGAGGGAGCATTGGATGCAACCGGAGACCTTCTGCATGCAAGGTGGAGGCTTTTCTACGGAGCCACAGTCCTTCCTCAATGGTGGAAGGACATATAGTCAATGAGAAGGCAGGCCACAAGACCTTAAAAATAGCTTTTTGATGTATATATGAACCTAGTTCATTGTTGTCCTTTTTATTCTTAGAAATGCTCTTCAAATGTACTCTCTGATTATAGTTTGATTATGACAACAGTAGTGGTATTGAGATGCAATGGAACATATGTTGTAATAACCAGGGTCTGTTAGTATTAATAGTAACTAATGGTAATAAAGGCTAGGCTTTAATAATAAATGTATAGCGTATGTAAAAATCCTCCTGATAATATGTATTTTAAATGTTTACGTTAAATGCTCTATATTTACTCTAATGTGGATCGCCCTAGTTGTGAA